ACAGAACACAGACCAACTTTTACCTGCTGTCTTAACAGTGCGTTTTAGAAAATACTACAAATGGCGCAGTAAACGCCATCTGTAGCACGATGCTACATTTTAGGATTACGTATGCTCCAACAAGGTCTACTTGTGTGGATATCTACTTGCTGAAAACGAATCTCGGCGTAGCCAACCTCAAAGCGAAAGACACGTTACCTAAAATGTAGCATCGTACTACAGATGGCGTTTACTGCGCCATTTGTAGTATTTTCTAAAACATGATTGAATTTGGAATTATGCTAAGGGGCGTCCTTATAAAGGGAAGGGGCATATCTCCAACTTCTTGAAACGAACAGTATATACATCTCCAAACCTAACCTAACCAAACAATAACGCCACCAATGCATATTCATCAGGCGATCGCACTAGAACCGCGTAAACACAGATTACTCTGGTTCTGAGTTTACTAATGTGTTTTAGTCGTTTCATTCACAGAAATCATTAGTTTTATACATTTCCTAGTATAATATCTGAATTTCATACAATTCCTAGGAGATATATACATTTCCCAGGATATGTGTGTATAAAAAAATCTTTGAAACAATATTTTATAGATTTCCTAAATAGTCTCGAAATTGTATACATTTCCTAGGAATTGTATATTATGTCTGATCAGTATTCCGGAATATTTGAAAGGTAATATCTGGGGGCACTGTAGAGTCCATCTCGTGATAGTACCACTACGTAGGGGGTAGAAAAACTATGCACAAAAAATGCCCCAATAAACGATCTATTAATGAGTGAGAGCAGTTATCATACGTCACGTCACTTGGGTGGGCGCTCCGCTTTAGAGGGAAAATGAGAAAGGTAAATAGAACCAGAAACATTACGGAATGGCCTGAAAGAACTTAAATAATCTTCTGAGAAAAAAATTTATCTGCCCTTTGCAGCCGTCGTAAATTAAAAATACCAGAGTTTCTCAGTTGCAGCTAGTTATTAGCTGAACTACACTTGTTACATTCCCATCCGCGTTCCCTAGGCATTTCGGACACGGCCGTTTGTCTTGAGCGCAACGTAATTACGGAAAGAAATGATGCAGCAAATGGCTTTTCAGTTTTAATTAAACTTGCTAATTTTCTTCACTTCTAGCTACCAAGCAAAGCGCGAAATATTACCGTTTTCTGAGGAGGTGTTCCAGGTCGCTTGTTTGTTACTTTTATTAAAATTCGTGCTATCTGAATAACAGGACTCATGTGTATACCTCAATTTAACTTTTCCGTGACAAATCTTCTTTATCTACGTCTTTTTTACTAAATCTACTGAACACCAGCACAACTACGTCTATAATTATCATACACCACCGTAAAATCTAGCAAAAGCTTTAAAAAATATTGCACCTTCATACCCTCATACTCACTTTCTTCGCGTTAATTTTCATCCTTAAGCAATTAAATAAAAGCATTCTTCGATTAGTGTATTTATGATGATAACACTCTGTATTAATAAATCTATCTGTAGATACAGTTTTTGTGGTACTTCTCTTATTTTTCCGTTTTAGATGACACTGAATTTATATCCCCATATATATATATATTTATATAATATTAGACCCGTGTTATTAACATTTGTGTTGATATGGAGGTTTTATTTTTTAATTCGAGTGTAAATGAACGAAAATCTCTATGTATGTGTGCGCGTCTGTCAGTAACTTTTTCCCGTGCTGACGTGAATTTTTATTTTTTTCACTAGGAAAGGCGGTAGTATTTTCGAACAAAAGCGGGCGAGCAAAGTGAATATAAAAGCGCTGAACATGTTGAAAACATCCAAGTATGCCTGTTTTATAATTATGATAATAACGATAATAATAACTAGAACAAAAATTACGTCCTTACCGTTGGCACAAAAATACGCATTTTCGCTGGTGGTTTTTAATATGCCTTCCGGGTGAACATCAATTGTGCCCGATTTAATTATCGCTCCAACGAGGGTCGCATTCGACGCGTTAGTCTCGGATCCCTCGCACGACGGACTGCTGTAGCCGTTCACTTCGACTGTAACAAAAATTGTACACATAAATTGTATATTATAAGGTAATGGGTCGGACCAAAAGTAATAATTTTTACAACAATAACAGTGACAACATCATTAAAGATAGTACAACTGTAGAGATAGATATACAGCCGCAAAAGATTCGTATGCTTAGATATGCAGATGATACAGCAGCATTAGCATCTAGCAATGAGGAGTTGGAACTAACTTTAAATAAAATGGATGCGGTATTGACAAAACAAGGGAAGAAAAGGTAGGGAAAGAGCGAATATAAAGATAGGAGACGAAAAATTAGAAGAAGTGACTGATTTTAAGTCAGATAAGGAAGGAGCAGTAGGGATATAAAGCAGAGGATAGCGCAAGGTCGAGTCGCCTTCAATAAAAAGAACTCATTTCTATGCTCGCGAACGATTAATTTAGAAATTCGAAATAGATTGTTGTGGGCGCGGCGGAAAAGAAAAGGTTAGAAGCGTTCGAAATGTGGTGTTACAGATTGATGAGGATACCGTGGATAGAGAAGGTTAGAAATGAAGAGGTATTAGAAAGAATATGTTACTAGAACACCTTCTCAGGCATGAAGGTCTAGTAAGAGACATATTGGAGGCAGAAACAGGAGTTAAGTGGAGTAGATGTAGACCTAGATTAGATTACTGTTTAATAGTTAACGATGTGGGTTTTTTCTAGTTTTAGGGATATGCGAAGATTAGCTCAGGGTTGTAAAGGGTGGAGTTGCATGTCCAACCAGTCTTAGGACTAACTGCCTTATGATGATAAATAGCGGCTTCTGATTCCGAAACATTAAGCTTTCGAGAAGATATTAAGAAAAATAGATTGTAACTTTTAACAATTTTATTAAAAATGCTATTAGTATGTCCTGCGTAACTTTCTCTCTAGCGGTTTGCTGTTGAAATTGGAAGAAAATGATTAGAATAAAAAATCCTGCTGGTCAAATGACCTTTCTGCGGATAATTATTTTAGTTAGAGATGACGGACTTCAAGATACACTGGAAGTGTTCATCAACTTTCATATTTTAAATAGAACATCCTGTATATTATTACTATTTTGAATTCAGTATCGATTTTAATGCTAAGTTTGTTAAGCATATTGTTTGTCTGTGGATGCGGTATCTTTTTCGAGTTATTTAGTAATTTTTAGAAAATTAGTACCTTACAATCATTTTAATATCTTAGCAACTAAACTAGATAAAATGATACAGTTTTCACTGTTAAAAAGAAGATGAAACGTATTTGGTTTCTCATCTAAAATTTTTGTCTAAAGCATATTAAATCATTACACTAGAAGTGTTCAATTTTGAAATGATTCAAACATAAATTACTTATTTTTCTAATGGGAAGCCATGTTCATTTTGACATCGTTGAACATATTAAATTCTCTTTCGATTTTATTTTTAAGGCATATTAGGGTTTATGCCTACGATTTTCAGGCGGCATGGGTCAATAGCCGAAAGCACATTTATTAGAATCTATATATATATAAAAGAAAGTCGTCTTAGTTACACCATTTATAACTCAAGAACGGCTGAACCGGTTTGACTGAAAATTGGTGGGGAGGTAGCTTACAACCGGGAGAAGGACATAGGATACTTTTTATCACGTGGTATATGTAAACGCAACTGACATGGAATGACAAAATGCAAATGACAGCAAAACGAAAAATTTATAAATCAAATTATCAGTCTAGCCGTTCATTTGTTAAAAATGGTATAACAAAACGCAACTGACAGCTAAACGTAATGTTGTCTAGGTTAAGTGTGGTGTTTTATTTACAGTCAGATTCACCTGAAACTTGTCTTTAATGTTTTTCCATATAAAATTAGTGACATACATATCTATTTCAACATTTTACAAAATTCTACCTCTTAGGAAGCTGAAAGGGGTTTGCAAAGATTGCATGTTTGTTTTTGGTTCGATTTGTTTGATACTGGTTAAAAAAATCAATCTCTGTTAGGTGGGATGAGTGGTGAAGAGGAGTTCAATGTTTAAATGGAACATACGAGGGTGGATTGATAAGTTTCCGGCCTAACCAAGAGATGACGCCACTAGGCCTACCTTGAGGTGACATTCTATAGTACCATCCTTGGATAGCTTGTAGCTATAGTTTCAGCCCGATCTCCTTGCTAGTGTAGGTTTGACAGCACG